GAATAGCTCCCTGTCTGTCTGAACTCTTCTGGGAGTACAATTTATGCTCCTCGCTTTTAAAGCACTGGCTATGTCTAAGATGTATTTATGAGCTCATTATTTTCGTCCCGCAGGAAAGGAATTATCTTTCTGACATCTTTTGTCTTGACTAGCTTCACTAATACCACACCTGTTTTATCAGCATGTTCACATTGGCATTTTTAACATTGTATATCCAAAGGCATTTTTGATAACGGAGGTTTATGGAAATTCAAATCTAGTTTTACTAGATTTTACTGATGAGAATAGGAACCCCATATTGGTCTGTCATTCTTACTTCTATGTTCCTCCCACTTCAATCTGTCCACTTAACCCAGAAAGATGCTTAGTTGTGTGAACTGCTATAATGGGTTTTATTTTAATATGAAATTTCTTGGTTTCACACACCATAATTCCAGTCAATCCCATCAATTTCCTGATTTACATCAATATATTTTAAAGTGGAATCAAGACCATATGAAAAAGAGTTTATTTTTTCCACAGTTGCTAAGTTTAAGATTTGCTACTGTGATAATGGATTATAAATAGCTATAGATGACTTCTTCGACAGCCTTTGATAATATTTTCACTATCATTAGTGCATAGCTTGGAATCTTGAAACAAAACATTGAGATCCACTGAAGACAATACAACCACCCTGGAAACAGTGTAGTGAGACTAAATAGCTATATATCTGAGAGGATGTGACAGTATCTCATCTAGATGAAAAGATGTATAGGTACTACTAAAAGGTTATTCAAAGTTCAGAAAGGATAAGGGAAGAAAAAGAAGGAAACCTATACTTTGAGAATGAGAATGAGAATGATTTCCTAGGTATAATCAGGAAATTACTGTCTTAATATCACTGTGGTCCTACAAAAAGATAATTTACAGCAGGGATGCTAGTTTTGTGAAACTGTTCGTGGCTCTATGTCCATGAATCATTACCATCAAGTCTGGTGGCCAGAGGAAAGGGGGGAAAATGTATAGTATGTTCTCTAGGGTAGGATTAAAATTACAGCCTTCCAAATTCATGGTACTACAAAGGCTTAAGCATATACAGTGAGGATAGGGGAGCTTTAAAGCATTCTGGTCATAAATGTTGACTAAACGTTGTCTGTGCTGTTAAGCCAAAAAAGTATGCACTGGAGCGTGGGCTAGACAGAGCTGTTTTGTAGACTTTGGATCTGTTCCTGCCATTGCATTTATGTAAAACAGTCCCTTGAACAGTATGAATTGACAAAACGCAGTTGCCCT